GGCCTTCAAGTTTAGGTCTGTTTCTTTTTGTGAACTTTATGTGTCTTTGTGGTTTATTTTTTGGTCATGAAAAGCTGGTTCATCTAAGCTTCCAGTTCTCTCTTTTGATTTATATTGTAGTGGCAGGATTGCTTTTCTCTTCAGGATTTCCCACAGAGGCCCAATTCAGGTAAGGGTCACATGTTTTCAGACTTTCTCCTAAGGTCCCGATCCTTCCAGGAACGATTTTGGCCTCATGAATTTGGGGGTTGGACTGGCTTGTGAGCCTGGCCCAGAAAAGATGCTGGTTTAGAGCAGCTGGTGGCCATGCCACCTTGAGATGCAAAGGCAGATGGGGCAGAAAGAGGCCCCAAGGCCTCCTGGGGATTGCACTGATGAGCTGGGTAGGTCTGGGTGCAAAGGATCAGGAAGAGGAAAGGTCAGCCCCAGTGTCCCAGAAAGAGGCAGGTGGGTGGTTTAGGCCCAGGGAAGCAGAGGGAGTTGAGGGCGGGGCCAAGCCCAGAAGCAGTTCTCCTGGGGCCCAGAGAAGGCACTAGGTTGGTCTAGATGAAAAAGATCAGGGAGCAGTATTGGTTCCCCAGGTGTCTGAGGCCCCAAATTAGGAATGGGGTAGGGCCCAAACTCAGAGGAGAGAAAGGCAGGGGAGATGGGAGGGTGAATGAGGCTGGGAGAGTCAAGGCATGGAGGGCACAATGGAATTTCCCCAGGAGAGAGGCCTATGGGTGGGAAAGTGCAACCATTAATATTTAATGAATAAAATTAACAGAAATCCTATGTATGCCTTCCAAACAATTATTGGAGAAGTCAGTGAAGGGCTACTGAATAATTTATTAAGACAACAGAAAATACACAAAGAAAACACAATGCAAATATAAACAAAATTATCCTACTGCAAAGCAAAAAAATAGAAAATTAGTTAGAAATTATAAAATATATTTATCATAATTTTTACATAGAAAAATATAAAAATAAAAAACATAAATACAAAAATATATTAAAAATATAAATACCCTAAAGTTTTGTGTACCAGCCAGGTGTGGTGGTTCACGCCTTTAATCCCAGCACTCAGGATGCAGAGGCAGGTGGAGCTCTGTGAGATCGAGGGCAGCCTGGTCTATATAGTGAATTCCATGCTAGCCGGGGCTAGACCCTAACTCAAAAATAATAACAATAACAAAATTATGTACCATATAGAACACGGTCAAATAGAAACTATCATTAGACTGCAAAAAAACAAATCAAAACATTTTCTCTTCTACACTTTTCAATGTTGTCTGAAGTTTCTATCTTCAACTTACACAAACTTTAAAATCATAATAATTTATTTTTCAAGGGATTATGAGTATGGTTCAGTGGTAGAGCATGTGTTCAGCACGTGTCAAACCTATATTTAATCCCTAGCACATCCTTAAATAACAACTGTAAAAATTAAATAAAAACAATAAACATCAAAATGGAAAACACTCTCCAGAAAACGTACTTTCCTCTCTTCAAATATACAGAAAAAAGGAAATATCAGATATTTATTATTTTAAGTATAGCAGGTTTGTTTTTTTTTTTTTTTTTTTTTTTTTTTTTTTTTTTTTTGGTCTTTTTTTGAGACAGGGTTTCCTTGTAGCCCCAGCTGGCCTCGGAACTCACTATGTGGACCAGGCTGGCCTTGAACTCACAGAGATATGCCTGCCTCAGCCTCCAGAGTGCTGGGATTAAAGGCATGCACCACCACACCCAATCTTAAGTATAAAATAAATAGTTATAGGTTAATAAATTGATACAAATAAGTTTCAAGGCTGTGTTTTGCATTTATTTCCAGACATGAACATCACTTCTATTTAAAATCATAATTAACGAATTTTAAACAAATTTTCAAGGCGAGGGAAGGAGGGGGGAGAAGGAGGGAGAACAGAAAGGGAGAAAGAGAATGAACTTGGAGATGCAATCGATAAAGAGAAGAGGGGAATAGAGAGACCACCAGGACATTTGAGTTCAGTTCCAGTAACAATATAAGCCCTGTGCATGCTGTATTGATTTCAGTCACATGGCAAGTACTGCAATTCCAACCCCATAAAGGCACTGGAACAGAAGAATCATTTGGCAAGACTATTTCAAGAAAACCTGCAGACAGTCAGAAGAGACCCGAAGCAGATGAGGTTGCTTATTAAATGTCACTGAGGTGCATCCCAAGGAATGATGGGAATCTTCTTTAAGTAGAGAAACCCAACTAAATGGATACAGGAATGCTAACAGGAGACTGAGGTGTCCTATTCAAATGCCTAAGTCTTAACATCATTTCTCAGTTTCATTTGAAATAAATTGCCAGTCACGAAGCAGAAACAGGAGTCCTAGGTGGGTAGAAGAGTGAATTTGTATACAGCACATCTGTCATTATCAATATAATCACATTTTAATACATTTTTAACTTGTGAAGACTAGAAACAGCTACTGGATAGTTACTGTATAACAAGGATTTGAGTGAATTGAGTGAATGATCTTATAGAATAATACTTTTCTATACCTTATTAAAACAATTACCTTTGAAAAATTATAGACTGGTCATTGAAAATTTCTTAGATGATTCCTCAAATTTGATTATTCAGAAGAAATCCTTTTTAAAATGCTGCATGGATAAAATTAAATTTTGTTTTTAGGTACTGTAATTTTATCTAAAATAATTTCCCATTTGACTCCTAGTTGGTCAGATGAACATATCTGCCCCTCCTAAAAGAAATGAGGTAGATTTATGTGCCACTGATACAAAAGGCTATTATTTTTCACGATTCATTATTCCCCCAAAATTGAATTTAAATTTTGATTTATAGGAATTCCTTCCTTGTTTCATAAATTATCTTTTGTATGAAAAGAATTAAAATTTGAAAAAATAAAAAGGACAAATTAAAACTTTTGTCATTTTCTCATCCTCAGATTTTGACATCTCTTCAAGCTGAGCTAATTTTATAAGAGCATCATATCACAATATTGTATCAGGTAGTAAAGTTTTCTTGTAAGCACTTCAGAAGCAAGCCATGCTTCTGTTCCTAGTACAGAACCAAGTCTGCATTTCTCAGAATGTATTCAGATGAACTCCACTGACCACAGAAGACACCACACATTCTGTGGAAAAAAAAGTGCTCTATGGTAAAAATAAACTGAAGAACCACTGCAAATCTTTCCTTTGGAAAAAACTGTGAATTCTTTTCACAATTAACTTAACCTTGCGGTTTCTGTATTTATTTTGTCATGAACCACCCTGTTACGGTTTGGATCTGGAAGGACCTCTAGAGACACATGTACTGGAAGTTTAGTCCCTAGCTACTGGCACTGATAAGAGACTGGGCCATGAAGGTATTGCCCTTATCAATCGAGTCGTGTACTGGTGGGCTTATAGCTGAGTGGCCTATTAAGAGGTGGAGTTTCCCAAAGGAAGTGGGTCACTAGGTGTATATCTTTGAAATGTTCCCAGACACTCATCCTGGTCTCAGTCTGTCTCTCTGTCTCTGTCTCTCTTCTGTTCTCTCTCTCTCTCTCTCTCTCTCTCTCTCTCTCTCTCTCTCTCTCTCTCCCAATCTGTGTATCGCTTTTCTCTATTAGGTATTATACATGGATGCTTAGTGACACTTACCATAGAAAGTGT